ATGGACTTGGTCTCTGGGACCAACCTCGTAACCATTTTGTGCTTGTTATAGTTTTCATGTTATAACTTTTAAAATAGTAAGCATATGTTCACAAAAATTTGGCATATTATCAGAAAACATTACAATGCTTTCATATGCAAAATATCTTTTTTTTTTTTTTTTTCAGTCTTAATGTTTGTTAAGCAATGTTTTTCTCCTGCCCATTTTTTTTCACATGTTTCCTATCCAATATGCAAAGTAATTTCATTTTAAAATTAAAAATACTTTTATGCATCAGAAAATTTTAAAATTTCATATGCAAAATGCTTATAATGTCCAGATAGTTATCAAATGTTTCTTAAGAAACAGCTTTATATTCTACATGTTATTTTCACTAACGAATCTCTATACAGGTTCATTCAAGTTGACCGATCTTGTAACCACCATAAAGAATTACGAAATAAATATAAATTATGCCTTTTTCTTCCTAGAATGAGTACAAATTATAACATGAAAGCATAAATGTTTTAACTAAATAGCTTAAATCTCATAACATTATACATTTATATATACTTATTATTTTTATTATATTGACCTTTCAGCTGTGCCTAGCTAACAATACAGAAGTTATAATCACATGACACACATGTACTCATATCCAATAATATAAAACTTACCTTTAGTCTTTAGAAAGTAACTTGTCTTGGTTGTGTTTTAGTGGACTAGTATTTTGTAAAATACAGTCACATTTCAATTATTATACATTATATAAGTATATAGATTATTACTATTTACAAATAAGTTATTAAGCTTATTTTTCTTAAAACATAGAACAGCTAATAAAGAAGCAAAGCAAACAATCATCTCTTCTTGTTACAACCTTTGTACTCAGTTGCTGCTTACTGTGGCTTGCTACGCCTTAACAAATTTTACACATGGAGGATGTGAAATGAAATAATTTGTTTTAGGTTTTATAAATACATTTGAATTACTACAAAATCATAAATTACTATATCAATACCATAGAATTCCATTATAATTTATCAAGTTTAGTAACTAAGCTATATTTGGGTCTTAAAAAATATGAAATTTCGAACAGGCTAATGACTCTACTTACCAGCATGAAGGTTTGTCTTGAAATAAAGAAATGATGCCGTTATGTTTGAAAATGGCTGAGAAAGCCACTAGGGGGACATTCTGAGCTTTTGATTGGTTATTCACATGTCACAGACAGAAGTAAGTGTATATAAGGAAATGTTTCCAAAAATGGAAAGAGATTAGAGGGGCCACTGTGTTTGATTCAGTACATAAGCAATATCTCGGCAAATAGAAAAGATAGGAGGTTCTGATTTTCTATTCTAGCTTGTCAGTATCAGTAATTTAAGTTCCTAATTCTAACAAAATTATAGACTTTGTATTTTGACATCATAAACAT